GGTCCCAAGTGGTGGAAGGAATCCATTTCAATCTCCGCGATATACATCTCATGTCTCCTGTCTTTGATCTCCTGCTGGAAACCATCGCTCACTTGAAGCCAATCGAAGTCTTTCTTATCAGACAATTGCCGCAAATCTGTCACCGAATAAGACATGCCTTTCATTCGTCTCAGTCCTCGAGTATCTGTATTCTGGTTGTCTTGAGAGGACAGTTGGGAACTGTTGGACACATCGTTGGCGTCGGTGGCGATGGTAGAGCTGGTCATCCGGTTCTGTGCGTTACTTTTGTCGAGCATCTGATGTATGAACCGATCGCTACCTTTCCGTCTGATGGGTGTATCGACGGGACGGGTGGTCTGTTTGGGTTCCCCTCTAATACTCCAACTGCTCTTCGATAAGAACTTCTTGTGATTCAATTTCATGAGCGATGCCATTGTCTTCGCTGTTATCTATGGATTAGTTCATAATTTTATGGTTAAAATGATAGGAATTTTTGAAACAAAAAAGTCATAAAATTGAATATATTTTTGCCATAAGTTAGCTATAAATGAATAATATTTTATAACTTATTGTATCGATTCTATAGTACTATTACTATTACTACTATATTCTTGGGCCATAAAAGTATTCATCATAAAAACTTTAAAATCTCTGTAAAAGTGAGTGTAAACTAGGAGTAAATCTCCAGAAATGGAAAGCATAAGAAAACAATATATTATATAAAATACATAAAAAGATTATATGTTTTCAAAGTAATATTTTTTTGGCAATACATACGTATGAGTGTTATATCGTAGACATAAAAATCACATAAATTTATAATAAATAAACTTTTGATAACTCATATAATAAATATGGAGCTCTTTCTTGAGCTGAAGACATGGTTCACAGCCAACACATTACTCCCATTGATAGCTCATCACTGGTATTGTCTTCTTAGACTCATATTTGGCGTAAGACTCCGTAGTCTTTGAATGAATTATTTGTTTCGTTGCATAACTTATTGTCTTATTGTTTGAGTATTTCATGTCAGAGACGTGGAGTGTTTGGGACTGACATACAAACTGTCAGAAAGTTGATAGTGAACTGACGACTACTACAGAGTGGTAGGCATTCAAGCATAAGATGAATAGCCGAGAGGCATAATTCCGGTTCGCCAGAGGATACAAAAAAGTATACCATTCCCTCACTCCCCTTGCGCTCCCCTCACACTTACTATCTCTATCATACACTCACTCTTACGCTATGTATCAATATATTAGAATATTAGATAATCTCTCTCTCTCTCTCTCTCTCTCTCGGCTTTTGTTTATATAAATTAAATTTCATATTAACTTATAATTCAATTTTCTATACAAAATAAACTTCATATCGAGAGCACATAATAAACAGCGAAAAAAGTGTGACTTTTTAACAAAAGTTGTGTTGCCTTTTGGTGCTAATTATGGCATAAATTTTCCACTGAATCCGAAACACAGACTCCTAAATACATAAGTAGTGAAACATACAATTAATTGACTTTCAATTACCATTGAATATAATTTTTTCCGCAATTTAACTGCATTTTGATTGCCATTAATGACTACAGTCTATACGAAAACGACTGTTCGCTTCATAATACAAGTATAACTGCAAAACGAAAATCCATTAAAACAATTAAATGTACTTTTATTTTGTGTTGTTTTTATCTCTCGTCTCTAAACTACTATTTTTCGAGACATTTAGTGCCAATTAATAGCTTAGGACCTGAAATCCCTGTCCCTTGTCTAACCTACACTGCTATTCGAGTGATTATTTTCCTCAAACTTTTTAATTAGAAATTAAAAAACTCTTCGCTTTTCTCGCGAAACAAAAGTCTATTTTGAGGCAAAAAAGTGGGAAATTTTTTTTCAGTGAAATTAAATGAGAGACAACTTTTCGGCTCAATTCTGGTGTTTATTATTATCATTATTACATTACGGAGTGGTATGTGCTGAGGGACAGTGGGAATGGCGTTTTTTCTCGTTTGATTGTCTGCGCTGTCTGTCCATTCATTTACAACAAAAGCCATTTGTACAGCAATTGATTGCATACAAAACAATAATACAAAATCATATGATAGAGAGAAATGGCACCGAAAGACGTAAGGATTGCTCACAGAAATGGTTATTATCTGTTGCCATAAGAGAGGGGACAGGGATGTGAATGTGTGAGAGAGTATGTACTTTTATTTTGTGTTGTTTTTATCTCTCGTCTCTAAACTACTATTTTTCGAGACATTTAGTGCCAATTAATAGCTTAGGACCTGAAATCCCTGTCCCTTGTCTAACCTACACTGCTATTCGACTGATTATTTTCCTCAAACTTTTTAATTATAAATTAAAAAACTCTTCGCTTTTCTCGCAAAACAAAAGTCTATTTTGAGGCAAAAAAGTGGGAAAATTATTTGCAGTGAAATTAAATGAGAGACAACTTTTCGGCTCAGTTCTGGTGTTTATTATTATCATTATTACATTACGGAGTGGTATGTGCTGAGGGACAGTGGGAATGGTGTTTTTTCTCGTTTGATTGTCTGCGCTGTCTGTCCATTCATTTACAACAAAAGCCATTTGTACAGCAATTTATTGCTTACAAAACAATAATACAAAATCATATGATAGAGAGAAATGGCACCGAAAGACGTAAGGATTGCTCACAGAAATGGTTATTATCTGTTGCCATAAGAGAGGGGACAGGGATGTGAATGTGTGAGAGAGTGGCGGAGAAATACCAGCGCCACCGGGTATTTGCCATTTGGGTCCCAACCGAATGATACGCCCTATCATTACTATTATTATTATATATATATATACAACCATATAATATATAAACCTTTTATATTATACGCGTATATACGGAGAGAAAACACGTTTTTCTTTCGTTGTATTACAGAATACAGTCTTTTCTACACTATTATTGTCTTTTGAAACGCGGATATCATATCTGAGATGATGGGAGAGAATGGAGAAGAGAGAGAGAGAGAGAGAGAGCGAGAGAGAGAAAGAGAGCGAGAGAGAGAGAGAGAGAGAGAACACGAAAAATATTTTTAACTGCACTTAAACTGCAGCTAAACATCAAAAACTCCTAAATTTAATAGGAGTTGTATTTTCGTTATGTTATTAATCTTTTGGCAAAAAATTATATAAAAAATGCATTACGCAGGCAGTAGTTTAGTGTTCATCAAAATACGCTTATGTATAACATTTTCCGAGTCAGTTTCCCATCCCATTCCCTCTCACATACTCTCCCCCATCGACACCACATATCTCTCGATATTATATTTATTATTCTTTGAGTGCAATCTCTATGAGCTATACATACGGTGTTGTGTATAATACATGAGATGAAACTAAACAGTGATGTTTATGTGGCAAAACATTTTCTGTAACTTTTTATGATTATTTATTATTAACACAAAAAGTGATTAATTATTTTTAGCCCATTCTCTGGCAAAATATTATAAAAGCGATTAATTTGATGCTTAAATTATTTATGTAAACAATTATTTATTACATTTTATTATTAATAACAACAGGAATTGTTATTATATTTTCAGTTTGAATACATTATACAAGTGTATGAATCGCTTATTAAAATTATATTTATATAGAAATAAGTTTTTCCGTATTTTCTAATAATATATGAAAATCAAAGTCAAATGTATAGAAATTCTTCACTCATTTCCTAATAAAGTGTAATATATTTTACATACAATACATCATCAAAATAACACAAACTTTTTTGAGGGAAAATACTTTTTTATTCAATCATTTATTTTAACGACTTTTCTATAAGCCTTCGACGAGAGAGAGAGAGAGAGAGAGAGAGAGCAAAATTTTTAACGAAAACTATTAAAACATTTATAATATTTTATATATTCATAAAAATCAATATTTGCAGAAATGATTAATTATATGATTAAAGCATTTGAATATATAGTGAGTACACAATAAAATATTTGTATGCGAAACCTTTTTACATATATAACTGTAATACCAAAGTCTTACGACAGTCTCAAACAATTTGTTTTACTTTGCATTTTATATTAATATTTTTCGAGCCGTTATTTCCTTTAAAAATATGAAAACATTTTTCTTTTCATATGTGATATGAATTGAATTGAGAATAAATAATACGAATAAGAGTTTAATTGTTTAAGTGATTTGTTTGATTAGTTTTATGCCCACAAACCAGGTATTTTGGTTGAGTGATAGGCAGTTATTGAAACACACAAATATGCTAACCAATACAATAAGTCAGACATACAACAAAAAATTAGTCACTCTATTATGTAAGTCAAGTAAATAATTAAATTGAACATAAGTAGTAAAAATATTTATTAATTCTTTCAAAATATTAAATATGTTTTATAACTTTCTCTCATATATTTGTAATGCATTTTAAATACAAATATTTTTTGGCAGTTTTATGTCAGGGATAACGAAGTTATAGCTAACTTTCCACTTAACAAAACTTTTCACTTACAGTATACTGTATTTCTCTCTCCAAAACACATATTCCCAGTGTTTGTGTGAAAAATTCTTGCGTTTATTATTGCATTAAATTTTATTAATTCATTAAAAAGTATTTCTTTTATAAGTCACTCAGCAATCTCTCTCTCTCTCTCTCTCTCTCTCTCTCTCTCTCTCGAGATTTAACTTTCACTTTAATATTTAATAATTTAATTCGTGATAACAAATAAGTGGTCAGGTATTATATGAAAAAAATCAATTGAAAGTAAAAAACATGAAACAAATTATTTTCTCAAACAAATCCTTGAAATATTTACTTTAATTATTATTATTCTGCATTCAAATTGTAAATTAAATACAAAACTCTAAAGAAATTATATTAATAAATAGAAAAAAAATTAAAGTTTTGTTTGATTTATATTTATGATGTGATTATTGTATTTAAGACCAAAAATTTTCAAAAACTACTCCTCATTCATAGCCTATTAAAATGAATGACATATTTATTCAATGCATATCACAATGGATTCAATAATGCAATCCAACAGTAAATATGCGAAAATAATACATAAATCTATTGGCAAACGATTGGTACCGAAAAGAGTAAAATCATAGATAAAAGACTTTTTTGTATTCACTTTTCACTGTTTAGTTCATGAGTACACATAAAAAGGTTTTATATTTATTTTTTGTCCACAAATATTAAGTCTCCCTTTCCTTTGAATAACCCGTAAATACTTATAACAAACACATAAAAATGAGTACAAAATATATTATACATTCACTTTCTCAAACACACAAAATATAATTTTATTGATTTGAACTGAAAAAATAATAAAAATTATTACACTATTTGAACAGAAAAGTAGTAAAATATTATTTTGCTATTCATTTATGATTTTCTGAATATGAAGTATATTTACTTTAATACGTTATTCATAAACTGCTAGTTAATACTTATGGGAAAAATATTCACTACTTATCTCTACACAGGGTAAAGGGAATGGCATTTTGTGTATAATATTTTATATAATCTATAAAATGTATTTTGCGATACATTAGTAATGAAAATTTTATGAACATTTCAGATGTGAGTCTCGGAATTGAAATAAAAAAGTTTTTCTAGACTTCAATCCATATCTAAAAAGTGATATAAAATATGAACACAAAATAAAACAAACGAAATCTAAACTAAACTCAAAAAATATAATAAAATAAAAGAGAGAAAACTTTTTAAATCCATTACTGAATTGGTTTATCGATTAGTTTGTGTTTGAAATTTTGGAAAATCTTTTCTTATTTTGAAGTTTTGTTTTTGTCTTATATTTTTTATATGGTTTTATACCAATATTTTTCATGAAACTTGAAATCACACATAATTGAAGTCTTGTATTTTTAGTTTTGCTATACTTTAAACTCAATTATAGTTAATATTTTATCGCAAAATAGCTTAACTTTTCATATATGAAATACACTCAAAATATTTTTACTTCTAACTTTAATATAATTTTGTTTTTTGGCACTAAATATACAGTATATTTACTCGCTTATAATGTATGACATAATATGCGATCACTTTTGTATAAACAAGTGTTTACTGTCTTATAAGACTAGTGTATAATTATATAATAAAATTGTCGGCGACTTATTTGAATAACTGGTGAATATCGCATTCACTATACTTTTTAAACAAATTGATTGATTTGAAAATATTTTCACTTTTGCTACCAATCCATACACGAAATATACATACAATGTATATAAATAGCTATCGATTGCCCCTTTATTTTCATGGCAAACATCACATCGCCTTTTGGCTGAGAGAGCGAGAGAGAGAGAGAGAGAGAGAGAGCGAGAGAGAGAGAGAGACTTACATAACAACAAAAACTCTTCACTTAAATTGAATTGAATTGAATTGTGAGAGAAATTTTGTGTTTCACTCATCCAAATGAGTTATTATAAACAGATTACTCTTTTTAAAACACATACCAGTGCTATGAGAAGGGGATAAGGGGTATGCGTGCGCTGACCCCTGTATTACATAAACTGCTGCCTATCTACTAATGGACAGACAGACAATTTTATTATTACTTTCCGAGCGTATAGTCAAAGACGAGTTTCTTATTTAATACACACATGAAGTCTATTACGATATTACGAGAGACACAGTGTTTAGTGTTTTATAAGAAAATATAACTTTTCATGAAATGAAACGCTTTTTATATTTAGTATTTTATTTGATATTCATTTCGGTTAGCATTTCGTGTGAGAATTTTGCTTTTTGTGTCGACCCTAACTCTCCAACGCTATCATCATTAAGGTGTATAGTAGGGACAGCCTAAAATTATATTTAAGATGTTTTTATGTTATGTTATGTTTTTCATGGCGTTGTGTTTCCTATCAAATACAAAGTGGAAAATAATTTTCGTGTCTCTCATTTGTCTGATCTCTCTCTCTCTCTCTCTCTCTCTCTCTCTCTCTCTTTCTGGAGTTTAAAATTGAATTTAATTCTCTGGGAATTGATTTTTTCGGGGGAATTCACTTCACTTATATCACCACTCAGTCTAACATTTCATTCACTACTATGTAATGTCAATATATTTCTCCATTTCCAGTGATTAGTCTTCTCACTCATACTCTCCCTTATCATTCACTTTCTCTCTCTTTATAACAGATAATAGATATATATTTCACTTTCGATTAGCTTTTATTTCTCGATAATAATAGACATAACTTAATGATAACTCTTAAGAAATGATTATTAATACAATATATAAGAGTCGATACATAATACGAGATTATAATTAGATATTTGTTTGAAAATGTTAGGGAAAATAATCAAAAGTAATAGCCTTAATAATGGATACGAGAATGTCTGCTAAATAAATATAAGACATACAAAGATACCAGTGTATAATATAATGTGAATAAATGAAAGCCTTTTTAATAGACTGTTTGTCTTTAATGATAACTAAATTGTTTTCTACATTCTCGACAATCGTTTACAAATACACTGTCTCTGTCGCATTGATGTATAAAATGATGATTTGTGTAAATAATTGTTACATACGATCATTGAATTCACTTTCATTTCAAAACACTATTAATCGACTAATGATACGAAAAATGGTACGAAAAAATGGTTCACTTTTTGTTTTTTGTATATTACATTTAGTGCCCCAAAAAACATGGGATAATACTTGACATGACAGGGCATTAATATTGTCAATGAATGGTAGATAGGGTGAGGGCCAGTTTTCCATCACTGATGAGCACTGGTAGGTCACGTCAGAGCCAAAGTACAGACAAAGTTTAAGTGCATTTTTATGTGTTATTTGTGGTGTTTGTGACTGACATTCATATAAATAATTGAATGGCTTATGGGATGTAGTGATGGCTTTAATGGTCGGTCGACTCCAAGCCCTACCATCCACTCCATCCCGATTCGCACGTACTGTACGGCCATATATGAAACACACCTTTACTTTCACGTTTGGTTCAAATCATATTTATATGAGATTTTCACTCATGAAATGAGATTTTTTGTGCACTTATGTCGGATTTATGTTGAGTTCAAACTCTGATCTATTAGTGCTATTTCGGTATATTTTTTAATGGTATCCCACTATTAGTGACCGCAATATAAAAAGCTAAATGCCTTTTATATACGTATGAATGATAGAGTGGGGGAAGTGTTGGTTAATATACCGAAGTGTTGGCTCATAAATACCCCGAACACATAGCCCTGGTATGTAATGGCAGTACATGTCTATGAATGGAGGGATAAGAGTTATTTGATAATCTTGACGGACAGACAAGTTATTCGCTCAAAGCTATTGCATTTTAAAAGCCAATTCCTATCTCCCGAAACAGCACTGGTATGTGTTTGTTGGGTATGACGGGGAGAGAGAGGGACCTAAAAATATCTTCTCATCAAATGTCTGGCCTTTGCTTTCCATTTACGAGCAAATCATATGAGATATTAAGTGATATTCACTGAAAATCCCAAAACGTTTAACACTTTAATCTATTTTTTGTTGGCAGCACTGGTAGTGTTTTTAGGCTGTGTTTGAGTCAATCTATTAAATTACAAACACATCCCAACCCATAATATGGAGTGAGCGGAATGGTATGGTTATGGTATGGACTGGAATTTCGGTGTGATTTGAATGGGTGTCCTTTTAGAGGGGACGGCATGTTATTTAAGACATTCACTCATACATAGCTAGTGTTATATTAGCCTAAATTGAGTGCAAAAACAGAGCACTACTCCCAACCAATTCATCACCACTGGAATGGCATACAGTTCCCCAAAAATC